GGCGGGGGTTTGCTCCCCAAACCACAGGGATGGGCTTCAAGGTTGAGGGGGCCAGGGAGGCCGCCATGGTGCAGCTCAGGGGGTCCAGGTCTGCCCCGAAGCCAGGGACCATCTCCCCCCCGATGGGCCGTAACTGGGTACCGACTGTGTGCCGGCCACATGTGTGGTCACCTCCCTCGGCCTTAGGGTTAGCACCGACTCATCTCCCCATTTCACGGGTGTGGAAGCTGAGGCCCCCAGAGGTTAGAGAGTTGCCCACCGTCCTGCAACCGGTACGCAGTGGAGCTGGGATTCGAACCAGGACTGCCTGACTCCAAGCCCTACACCGGACGCTCCCTTGGTCTCCGCCCCCGGTGCTTACATTTTTGTCAGTCCCATCATTTTGCCTCCCTCCCCACGCCCTCGCAAACCTCCCTTGCTTGTGTGTTCATTCAGTGAATGTCCCCTGAACCTCTACTGCCAGGCACTGGGCAGTGATGAGGGGAGAGTGAACGTGAGGGACAGGGGCCCCCGAGCTTGCACAGCAAAAATCGGTATCTCAACATTACTACAGGCAGTCATCAGCGCCTTGAAGGGAAAAGGGGGTTGTGGGAATGAAGACCTATGGGCAGGGCTGCAGAGAAGGCCTCTCTGAAGAGGGGACACCAAGCTGAGACCAAAAGGATGGGACAATGCCAGCCATGTGAACATCTGGGAAGAGAACATTAGGTAGAGGAAACAGCAAGTGCAAAGGTCCTGAGGCAGGAGCATGTGAAGAAGAAAGAGCAAGAAGGCTCATGGGGCCAGAGCGCAGTGAGAGGGAGACTATTGTCCTACGTGTTCATTTGAACCCAGTGATTTGCTGAAACTCTGCAGGAAATCACATGAAGCCTCTCCCTCCGGAGCGGCCCAGGGGCTGGACAACAGGGTCTCAGGAACGAACCACCCCCAGGGAGCATGGGGGCAGCCCGAACCAGTGCTGAGGCTGGAGGGGAGGGTGGTTCACGGGCACGTGGCTGCCCTGGCAGGGTTCATGTGCCTCGCAAAGGGCCCTGTGTCTGTACCACTTCGGCACCCCGGTCTCCTGTCCGGAGGCCCATTTCTCTCTCCTTTCTTGGGACAGGCAGCCCTGAGCCCATCCCGCTGCCCGCTGACCTCGGGCATGGGGGTGCAGCTCTGCAAGCTCCTGGGTGGCAAGAGTGAGGGCAGCCCCAGCCCCAGCCTCCCAGCCTCCAGGAGGCTAATCAAGGTGGCTGGCACACAGAAACCCCTCTGCGTCTCCAGAAACCTCTGGGAAGGGGCCTTCTGGGCGTCTCTCACTGCCGAGTAGGGATAGCAGTGTGTGTCCCCCTAAGTGCTACCAGCCTTTTGGACCAGACACTTCTTTGCTGTGGGGGGCTGTCCTGGGCACTGCAAGGAGGGGGTGGTTAGCTGCAGCCCTGACCACGTGTTCGATGCCAGGAGCACGACCAAAGTATCCACAGATAGGTCCAATGTCCCCCGGGGAGGGCAAAGTCGCCCCCAGGTGAGGACCGCGGGCTCAAAGCCTTCCTGTGTGGGCAGCAGTAAGTCGATGGTTTACTCACCAGCCGGGGAGGCTGGGACCCCCAGAGTTCCCAGCACTTATGGTTTTATTCTATTTGTTGAGAAATACGAAGAAAACAGAAAAAATCTGAAAGAAGCAAAGAAAGCTCAGCTATCATTGCACACCGGGTGGCTAGCCTCTCAACAATTTGGTGAACTGCCTTCTGGTCTTCCTTCCACTCTCGATAATCCTAACAGCTATGATCTACTGAGCTTCCAGCCTCATTTCATTCAGCCTCCCGACACCCCCGGTGGGGCGATACTGTTCTTATCCCATTTGCCAGAGGAGGAGACCGAGGTTCAGAGTCCACATGATGTTCCATCATGGGCGTTTTTCCCTGCTGTCCTTCAAAAACACTTTCATGCCTATCCCACCAGGTTGTCCAGTCACCTGCTTTGTGCCGGGGTCATGCTAGAGGCTGAGTCCATGTCCCTGCCTGCGAGTGCGCCGCCTCCCAGGAGTGAGCGTGGGGGCCAGAGGCCGAGGCTGACAGCTGCGGGGGGGGGGGGGGGCCTGTCCTCAAGGCCGGCCCCGTTGGGACCCTGAATCCACACACCGCCTTGCACACAGTGGTTTCAGCTTTTATGAGCTGCCCACAGGGAGAGGCACAGGAAAGGGTGGTCCCCACAGGAGCTGTTTGTCGTTCTGTTTTCTGCCCGCTCTGTGGGGACCGAGAGCATCCTGGCCATTACTAAGCGGTGCCGTGTTGAAAAAGGACCACACTCGGGACGCCTGGGCGGCTCAGTCGGTTGAGCGTCTGCCTTCGGCTCAGGTCATGATCCCAGGGTCCTGGGATCGAGTCCCGCATCGGGCTCCCTGCTCCGCGGGGAGCCTGCTTCTCCCTCTGCCTCTGCCTCTCTCTCTCTCTATCTCTCATGAATAAATAAATAAAATCTTTTTTAAAAAAGGAAAAGGACCACACTCTCTTCCGGGCAATCCCATTCCTGCCCATAGCTTCGGGTCCCACGCTCCTTTGCAGCTGCCGAGCACAGCATGGCACCAAGGATGGGCAGAGCCCAGTGGCCGCTTCCCAGCACCTCCCGCCCTCCTCTGTGGGCTGGCCTCTGGGGTGGACTCCGCTCTGTGGCCAAGGGGCGATCAGGTCAAGGGTGTGGTTTTGAGCTCTGGAGATTTCAGGGAATTCCCAGCCCTTCCTCAAGGTGCCCCCCGAGCAAGTCTAAGAGTTTAATCCCGGATCTGTGATTTTTCAAGCTGTGTGGCCTCAGGCAAGTCATCGAACCTCTCTGAACCTCAGTTTGTTCCTCTGTAAAACGGGATTACAGATAGGACCTACCTCACAAGCTGAGGATGAAATGAGGAAACACAGACAACAAATCCAGCACAGAGTAAACTCACGGTTGGCACCTGGGAGGGAGCTGCGGCTGTTACTTCTCCCGCCATTGTGAAGGTTACCGGTACCCCGACCGTTCACGGTCCAGGGGCACTTGACCGTGCCTGTGTTAGATGAGGACTCGGAGGCTCAGAGAGACTACAAGGCCAGGCCCGGACTGAGCATCATCTTGAATTCTGTCCCTTGCTGAGCCTTCTAGGGCATGAAAGACCCACAAGACCCTCCCCTGAGTGGGAGGAACAGGTGAGCAAACAGTGGCCACTCAGTGGCATGAGCAGACACGCCGATACCCATTTCACAGATGGAGAGATGGAGGCCCGGAAAGGAGGAGAACAACCTAGAGTTACCTTTGGCCAGCCAGACTGATCTCTGTGCCCAGAGCTCAGGGCAAAGAACCGGGAAGACGAGAGACAAGCAAACAGGGAGTCCAGAGGCATGGCTGGATCAACCTTGAGCTCAGAAAGTGCTCGGGGCCTGGGGGAGCTGAGCCCCAGGGAGAGGCAGTGGAAGGGGTGATGGATCAGAGCCAGGAAGCATGTGTGAGGAGGAGTGACGAGTGACGAGGTCAGTCTGTCTGGACCATGAAACATTTAGGTCAATGGCCAGCAAATGACAAGATTGGAAACTTCTTTTCTCCTCGGTCACCAGGGAGTCACTGAAGGTGTCCGAACACAGTAGAGCCACTGAAGGAAAGGAGGAGCTGGGGTGGGGGGTGGCCCCAGGAGCTGTGGCCTCTTCCTCTCTCTGGGGATGTCCAAGCCCTTCACGCTCAGGCATGCTCCTTTACCTGAGCAGACCCACAGGCAGGCCCAGGCTCAGGAACCCACCGCCCGCCTGCTTGTTCATCTGCTTGCACTGGGGCACAATTCCCACACAGTAAAATGCACCAGTTGGACGAGAAGAGTCGAGTGAGCTTCAGTAAAGGACGATCCCATGTGACCACCACCCAGACCAAGATGGAGCACGATGTCCCCATCACCCCAGAAGCCTCCTTCCAGCCCCTCCTACGTCATCCCCCAAAAGGGTAACCACTGGGCTGATTTCTACCACTCTGGATTGGCTTTGCCTGTTCTTGGACTTTTTATCATTGTATACACATAGCCCTTTGTGTCTGGCCTCTTTAACTCAGCATGTGTTTGAGATTCGTCCACGTTGGTACATGTACCAACCATTTGCTCCTTTTTATTCCGAGTAGCGTCCCGTTGTTCATTTATCCATTCACCAGATGATGGATCTTTGGATTGTTTCCCACTTTTTGGCTACTATGAATAAAGCTGCCATAAACATTGCATACAGGTCTTTGCATGGACACACATCTTCATTCTTTCGCAGAAACACCTACGAAAGGGATTTTGAAGTTGCCCGGATGTGCAACTTGGTGCAAATATGCAGTATGCTGAATACATGTCTAACTTCGTAAGAAAGCGCCACGCTGGCTTCCAAAGTGGCAGCGCCCTGTTGCATTCCCAGCAGCAACATGCGAGTGTTCTAGCTTCTCCGCATCCTCATCGGCACGTGGCACTGTGGGTCTTGAATGGTAGTCCTTCTGGTGGCGTGAGGTGACATCTCACGGTGGCTGTCATTTGCATTCCCCTGATGGCTAATGATGTGGAGGGTCTTTTCCAGCAGCCTTCTGACACTTGGCCTGGAGATTCACCAGACCCTGGAGACTCTCCAGGGCCAAAGCCCATCCCACCACCCAACCTGCTCCTTCCACTGATGACACACCCATGTAGGAAACTTGAGGTTTCCATTTCCTCCCCTCTCTTCATCACCCTGCCCATGCATCACCAACTCCTACACTTCCTGCTTCCCAGTTATCTCTCGATTCCTCACCTCGTGCACCCACCACGCTGGCTCAGGCCCCCTTATCCTCAAACAGCCGTGCCCGCCCCCCTGCAGCCACGCTGGCTCCTTCCCGCCACCCTAGACTCTTCCATTCTCCCAACGCCCCCACCCCGTTCTATATACTGTCCTCAGTGCCTGGAACATTCTCCTCTCTACACCCACCCTAAATAACTCTGCACCTGTCCAGCCTCAAACATTGTCCTGACCCCTTCCCCACCTCACCCCCAAGGTCCGGCCACATTGCACATGCTCTGAGCCCCAGCACCCCTCCTTTGGGGCTCCGGGCCCAGCCACGATCTCCTATTTCTCTAGGTGATCATTTGATGAATCGCTCTCCCTCCAGGCCAGGAGCCCCACATGGCATCCCCGGGACCTAGCATGGTGCCTGGCACAGGCTGGACACACCATGACATTCGAGTTATATGGCCTGAGTGGCAGATGGGGCGGGATAGAGAAGGCAAGCTTGAGGAGGCTCTGCCCAGATCAGCTGCCGGATGAACCATTGCAGGGCTGGCAACCCCAGCCCGGAAGACACAAGAGACCTAGAGTAAACTTAGTATGCGTCCCCTCCATTTCCTGATTTCCTGTCTACCGTCCTTCCTTCGCTGCCGCCAGAGCTGAAGTCAGCAGAATCTGCTTTCTTAGCAATGCACCCTGCTGGTGCAAGTGAATTAGCCTCCTGAACCTCAGTTTCCCCAGCAGTAAAATGGGATAATAATTATACTCACGTCCCAGGTGGTTGTGAGGCCCGAGTAGATCCTGCAGCTGAAGCGTTCGGCACGGGGCTAGACGTGCGCTAAATGCCCAGGGCCCCCCGCCCCCCGCCATCTCTCTGTGTCCTGGACCGCAGCTTTACTGCATCCTGCTCTCTGCAAGGAGGGAGCTGGCTTCGACCCTGTCACCTTCCCCAGTACCAGCGCCTTCCCTCAGCCACCAGGAGCTGCAAGCGTGACTGCTGGGGACTTCCAGACGCCAGGACAGGTCAGCAGCAGGGAGAGTTTGGGGCACGGCATTCCCCCTGGAACCCTGCTGGGACCTCAAGGACCGCACAACACTGTGGTAGGAACGGGGTTTTCTGATTCAGGCCTGGGTTCCAGTCCCAGATCCTATGTGTGACCTGAGACAGGTGATTTGGCCTCAGTTGCTCCTGTAAAATGAGGAGAATACGAGTCCTCCTTCCCAGGCTGTTTGAGGGGACTCGTGGGAGATGTTGCAGATGTTCGTGCTCAGAATATATGTGCCGAATGGGTGAATGGGTGATGCAGGCGGTGATGTTCAAGGTCGAGGGGAGGTGGGGGCAAGAGGAGTCAGCCTATAGCCGTCTCCCAGGGCCCACTGTTAGATTTTCAGAATCTGTAAGCCACTTGTGTCAAAGTTAAGTTATAAAAAACCTCCAATACTCAACACTCATCACTTCCTAATTATTTTACTACATTCTGCTTTTATCTATGTTCTTGAGAAGATTTTTATTTGTTGTATCATTTATTTTATCCATAGTTGGTGGCTCAGCATCAGCCCTGGGAGTATTTACCACAAGGACATTGGCAAGCACCACAGATCACCGCCTGGGTACAAATGTACCCAAGGAGCCCGTTGTTCTGGGTCTGCAGCCGGTCCCTGGCTCAGCAATCCCTGCGCCTCAAAAACTGGGAAGGGCCGGCCTCTCAACGGCTCCAAGAGCTGGTGGCGGGCGCCCTCTGGTGGCCGCATCAAGCACCTGTCATCCCTGACGCCCACTTAGGTCCAGGCCTTGGAAAAAGCCGCCAAAGGGGAGCCCCCTGGGGCTGCAGTGTCCTCCAGCGGAGGGGGAGAACCCGGGGACCTGTTCCCTGCCCAGAAGGATGGGGTGACAAGGCCCCACGGAGACTGCTCAGATGTCCCCCAAGTCCTTCAGCCTCTGGGTCCCCAGCTCCAGGATGTCAAGTCCCCAGTGTGATTTTTTTCATCACTTCCAAAGGGCGAGGAAACGCACGTTTCTCCTAATGCACGATCCCGCCTTTTCCAGGGTCAGCTGCCCCAGCCCAGGGTGGACACCCCTCTCCCACCAAAGCGCCCCGAACGCCTTCCTTGTGCGTCACGCTGGTTCCAGAGAGTCAGGGGGCCGGGGGCCGACATTCTTCCACTTCTCACTGACTCTGCCCCCATGGCCTGCCACGTTCCCTCCTGCCTGTCCCCTGTCTCCCCCCACTTCTCCAGCTGCAGCCAATACCTACCGGGACTCAACCCTGTCTTTGAACTTTGTCTGCAGGCCACACCCTGAAGTGAAGGGATCCGTGGCTCCCATAGAGGCCGCGGGAGGTATTTTTCTAGAAGAGAAAAAGCCCACCAAGATGAGGCGTATTCCTGTCCCAAAAGGTAGAACAGAGCGCTTGTAGCAACAGCTCCTTCTCCCGGTACCCAAGGGACAGAAAAGCTTCAGGAGGCAGAAGATCCCAGGTCTGAATCCGGGCTCAGCCACCGTCGAAGCTTTGGCACAGGGTCAGCGTGGGTCCGAATGCGGTAATGCAGGGACATGGTGAGCGTTGCATGAATAGGGCAGCCAACCATCCCGACTTGCTGGGCCTGCGGAGTTGCCCCCAAATGGGGCTCCTAGTGCTAAAATCACAGAGTCCCACGCAAACCGGGCCATCTGCTCACCCAATGCTTAAATCAGGGGTCAGCAAACAGAGAGCCTGCCGTCTGTCTGTAAATAAAGTTTTATTAGAACCCAGCCAACCCCATTCATTTGTGACACAGTGTCCGTCACCACATCAGATCTACGAGGATCGAGAACGGGGTTGAGAAGTTGCAGCTGAGACCACGTGGTCTGCAAAACATAAAATATTTTTGGTCTGGCCATTTAAGAAAAGGTTTGCTGGCCCCAAACTTGGTACAAAAGCCTCGTAGGCTGCAGCTGTGCTCAGCCCTGTGAGGAGTGGGTGTTTAATGGGAGACAGGCCCCCTGTAGAAGGCAGAGGTCAGGGTGGGTTTCCAGGGAGGATGGCCCTGACGTTGAGAGGGCATATTTGTCTGAGATTTGGTGGGGGAGGGCGCCAAATTCTGTAGGTTAGAACTGGGTCATGGGGGATGTTGAATAAAGTGGATTCGGGGACCAGCCTCCCTCTCACCCCAAAAGCCTAAAACCATCCCCAGCTGCCCAAAGATGTACCAAGATGTTCCCAGTGTCCAAGAGACAACACTGAAGTCAACTTTAGGCCTATACAGGGAGCTTCCGGGAAGGGGCTGGGGGTGAACAGCAAAGGACCAACTCCCCACCAGAAGGAGGCACCCTAATACCCTGAAACATTCAGCCATCATTTGTTTATCAAATATTTATTAAAGGCCTGTGCTGTACCAGGCCCTGGGCTGGGGGGTGGGATATTCAGTGAACAAGACAGAGCCCTCCCTAAAATGTAGGCACAGGCGCAGACGAGAGAGGGCAGGATAGGGGTTACTCTGTCCCCAGGAAGAAGCTCGTTGGTCCACACAGCCCCAAAGAAGGGTATAGCCCTGGGCTCTCCAAGTATACCCCAGACCTCACAGGCCAGGATCTCACCCTGGGCTCCCTGGGGAAACGCCCAAGAAAACCCAAGCTGCCCCCAAGGCGGGGGGGTAACCAGGAATGGCCTCAGGAACCCAGCACTCCTCCCCCAAATGCCCCCTTCCTGTAGAGTGACAGCAACCAGAAGCCTCTGGGTCTTCCCTGGGTGCATGGGGATGAGACCTCAGCAGTGGGAGCATTAGAGGGAGCCCAGACAGGTGGGAGACAGGGAGGTGGAGGGATCTCTCTGGCCTCCTCTGGAGGGGGAGGACAAGGCGTCTGGCTCACCAATCCTGCTTTGGCTGCAAGAATTCAGCCGCTTTCGGTCCTGTGGGCCAACCAGGGGCCCTGTTCTAAAGGTCCCCATCCCCAGGGGGCCCCAAGGAAACCCAGACCTGGAACAGAGCCTGGGTGCTTGGTTGTGGCCCGGCGGGCCTTGGAGGGAGCCAGGAGGCCCGGGTCCTGCTCTCATGGACGAACGGAGGAGTTAAGGGAGGAAGCTCTGCAAGGTGAGGTCGTCCCCATCTCGGCCCTCCGCAGGCTCTGCCTTTAGGCCCTGGCTCTTGGCATTGGGCAGGCCCCCATTGGCCGTGGCCGTGGGCACTTCGCCCCCCTCAGGCAGCAGGGATGAGATGCAGACCATCTCGGTGGGGGAATAATTGCGCACTGGGTACATGTGATTCTTGCGGGAGAGGCGGACGGCCAGCACCACTGTGCACACGAGAAAAGTCGTGGCTATGAAGGCCAGGATGAGGATGGCCAGCAAGCACTGCTTCACGGGGATGCGGTCCAGGGCCCCTGTGGGGATGGGGGCCACAGAGCTCTGTGGGGAGAGATGCTGCCGATTTTCCCATCGTTTGGTGAGGACATCAAGCAAATTGCCTCCTGCCACAGTGGTGCTGTTTTGAGGATCAGAGGTCACAAGAAGGACCGTGGTTAGGCGCCCTATGGTGGCAGGTCCTGTGGATGGGACCTTTGTGGTGGCTGGATCTGTGGACAGGGCCTCTGTGGCAGTGGGCTCCGTGGACAGGGCATCCGTGGCTTCTGGCTCCGTGGACAGAATCTCCATGACAGTAGACTCCATGGGCAGGGCCTCTGTGGCAGTGGGCTCCGTGGACAGGGCGTCTGTGGCTTCTGGCCCCGTAGACAGGGTCTCCATGACAGTAGACTCCATGGACGGGGCCTCTGTGGCCACAGGTTGTGTGGTCGGTGCCTCTGTGGCTGCTGGCTCTGTGGACGGGGCCTCAGTGGTGGCCAGCTCTGTGGATGGAGCCCCCTCTGTGGATTGAGCTTCTGTGATGGGAGGTAATGTAGTGGCTGGTTCTTTGGTCAGTGTGTCCGTTGTGACAGGAATCACCTGTGTGACCACTTCCATGCTCAGATTCCCTAGGGCCACCCCTCCTGTGTCCAGGCCAGCAGAGTCCCGTGTGGCTGCCTCCAGAGTAGCTGGCTCAGGAGTTCCATGCCCCAATGTTGCCAACTCAGCCAGAATGTTAGGGGTCAGGGCCAAAGACCTAGGTTCATGTGTAAGCATTTCTGGAGGCTCTGTGCCTTCTGTGACATAGTCATATGAGTCCACTTCATGGTCCTCATCCACTTGTCTCCGGCCCCGGGCAAGCGGGGCGTCTGGGGCCTCCTGGGCTCCATCCTTCTCTAGCTCCCACAGCTGGAGGCTGCTGCCAGGACCCAGCAAAATCAGAAGCAGGAGGACTTGCAGAGGCATGGCACCTGGCGGGAGACACAGACAGAGGGACTCGAGGATAGCTTCACCACTGGGCCTGCCAAGCGCCCTCTACTGCAATCATGTGGACAGCGACAGCCAGGGGCCCAGGCACTTAGCGTTTAAGCATCCTCATGACGCAGCACGTGCCTGGTACACGGGAGCTGCCCAGCAAATTGCAACTATTATTATTTATCAACATCAATAGATTCATCCAGAGGGCCCCACAACTCTCCTTATATGTTGCAAAGAAATTGTATTTGCCTCCCTACCCTTTGTGATTAAAACTTCAAAATTGTGGGCAAGACAGTCCACTGGGGTATAGAAAGAAACTATTAGAGCTTCTAGTTAGACTGTTATGTCACCCTTTTGTGATTTCTAGTTTTGCACACATTTATAATCTATCATGAGCCCTGGAGTACCTGCTTACAATTCATAGATAGATCAATGTACATATATTGTCTGCTGATGGCGTCCATGAACCAAAGAGTCTGTAGACCACAGGTCGACAGGATAAAGCTGCTTGTTTGGGCCTTTGGGGCCTTTTGGAGTCTGTTCCTGACCCGTCTCTCCATGTCCCTCTCTCCTACTTTCCTTCGCCTTGGCTCCCACCATACACAGGACAGTGCTGGCCTGTCCCTCAGGTTCTCAGTTTTCCCCATCCTCTCTCGGTGTCCCGGCTTGGTTTTGTCCTCACTTCCACAACTGGGATGACAGTACCTACCTCATAGCTTATTGTGAGGTTGATACAAGCAAAGCCTAGAAGCCCTTAGCACTTTGTCCCCATCACCAGCTCCAGCAAAGGGTGGCTGCTTGGGCTCCATCAGTAAGCCTCTCCTGTAAGTCCTCAAGGGCCCAGAGCCATCAACTGTACTCTGTACTATCTGAAAACTCCCATCTCTTCAGAACGGTCCTGCCCTCGGGGAGCTAACAGGCATCTCATTTGCTTGGGGGCCCATTCTCCTGTGACCCTTCGGCCCCCCCTGACCAGCAGCCAGAAAGGGCAGTTCCTCTCCTTGGTCTTTCTTCCTGGCATGGTGGACATCCATGTTTTCTTGACAGATCTCCCTCCCCTCACGCCCCCCCTGCCACTGGTGGGTTGTTTGCGGGATTCAGAATAGTGCACCTGAGGATCCTGTGGGGAGTAACAGCTGTGTTCTGGGCCAGGATTCAGGTATTCCTGGTTTTCTCGGACATAATACCCTCAGCAGGGTGCAATCCCAAGCACTGTGTCTGGGGCAGAGCCTGGGTCATTTCCAAAACTTATCCTCATACTTCGCATAATTTTGAGCAGAGACCAGTTGCTCATCCTTCCTTGAGTGACTGTAACTTACTCATAAGCCCCTTAGCTTCTAGGCTCAACCTGACCTCCTTCACCTGTTCACTCATGTTGGTTTCTAAAATGCCGGTCTGATTCTGTCTTAAAATAATTTCTTAAACCAAACTTTATGATATTTGCATCAGACACATCAGGCCTTCACAACTGTCTTCATTTTACTAAGGAGGGAGGAGGGGTAAGGCTCTGACAGGTAAAGCAACTTGCCCAAAGGCACACACCTGGCAAGTGGCAGAGATCAGATTGTAGCCCAGTGAAGATTCAGGAAGGCTTTGGGGAGAAACCTGACCTAGCTAAGGGGGCAGAAGGAGCAAAGACTCAGAAGAGACCTTAGCTTGCTGCTTCTGTGGCAGGGGTTGGGGACCCAGTTGAGAGAAGGAAGGCAGAATAAGAATAAGAAGGACCTTGGGGCGCCTGGGTAGCTCAGTCAGTTAAGCGTCTGACTCTTGATTTCAGCTCAGGTCATGATCTCAGGGTCATGGGATTGAGCTCTCCGTCAGCTCAGTGCTCAGCATGGAGTCTGCTTGAGATTCTCTCTCCCCCCCTCTCTCTGCCCCTCCCACCTCAATAAACAAATTAATCTTAAAAAAAAAAAAAGAAGGACCTTGAAGGCCATCTCATCCAGAAAGGTCAGCCCCCATACCCATATGTACCAGGTGCTATTCAGGGCACAGGATTGAGAACACAGACTATGGGGTCAGACAAAAAGATGTTCAGGTCCCAGCTCTGTCCCTTATAAGCTGTATGACCTTGAATTTCTGAGCCTCAGTTTTCTCATCTGTAAAATGGGGATACCAATCTGCATCTATCTCATTGAGCTGTTAAGGGAATGCAACAAGATGATGAACTCAAAAATTCCAGGCTCGCAGTAGGTGCTCAATAAACGTATCACACACACACACACATGTGCGTATGCACATCCTTTGCCTCCCAACCTGCCTTTAGGAGGCAGAGCGTCTTTGTACAGGGGGGAAGTTCCTGCTTGGGGGTGATCTTGGCCTTGCTTTCCCGGGGTGGGTGGGGCGGGGTGGACTTTAGGATCCGTATTTCAAAATTACAAAGACTTGTACCCACTCCCCACCCCCCACTTGGGCAGTTCTCAGTTCCTGGAAGGCAGAGCCCTCAGCCACTTCCTGGAAGCAGAGAGGGTGGGGGCAAGAAAAGGCCCCACCCGCCGGTTCCTGGGTGGAGGAGGCACCTTGATGAGTCAGGACCTGACTTTCTGCAGCCCAGAGGCAGGGAGGAAGGCATGGAAGGGGCGGCTGCCCTCTCCCTGTGCCCATCCCCACTGCCCCCTGCATGCGCAGGCAGCTTGGAGGAGAGACCACTCAGCAGCTATGTAACCTGAGTGGGTTGCCGCAGTTTCCCTATCTGTTAAAATGGGCAACCTTGCTTCAGAGAATGGAGCTGAGAATCAAATAGCGTGCTGCAGGGAAGGTCCCTGATATCTGGCATCAGCAGGGATGTTTTACTGGGGGAGCCTCTTCAGGGCTGTGGACAGAGATGCAGAGGATAGAGAAAGCTCAGAGTCAGGGAAGGTATGGACGCGACAGCCTCCCTACCTCCCCCAGGGGCAGTGAGGGACGCTGTGGGGTCCTGCCTGAGAGCAGAGACCCCCGTGTGTGTGGAGATAAGACAGGGCACATCGGGAAAGCCCCATCTCCCAGCCCAGGTCTATTTAGGGCGACCACCTCGTCCAGGGTGTTCCCACTTTTAGTGCTGAAAATCATCCCCTCATCCGTTGTCCTGTTGCCTCAGTCCCAGACAAGCTGGGCTGGCTGGTCACCCCAGCCTGGTGCCTGCCACCCCACGGGCTTCAAGGGAGAAGGACCACGGAGACCCCAGCCACGAGCCAGGCTGCTTGGCAGGAGGAAAATCCGGCTCCCGGGCGTTCTGTTGATCTGAGGGGGCCGTGCAGGTGGCAAGGACAGGGCTGGAATGTAAGCGCTGTGGCTGGCAGGTGGGATATGGACTTTACTATTTGCTAAGAGAAATGTATTGTAATGCAATGAGCATGGCGTATCAGAAGGCCACCACTGCGGCTGGACCATTCCACACCAGCACCAGCTACTACAACTCCCATTATACGGATGAGGACAGCAAGGCTCAGAAGAGTGAAGGCAATTCCTCAGAGCTGTGAAGTCCCCCCCTTACACCTTTCTCCCCCCAGAGGCAGGAAAACGGTCACTTACCACAGGAGAGGGGCTCTGAGAGAGGGCCAGAGAGCTGCCACGTCCTATCTGTCTTCCTGCTCGCCTAACGGAGTAGGTCAGATACGGCCCGTTTCCTGTCTTTTACCCTAAAACCTGGTTGCTCCGCCGGGGCCCCACCCAGGCTGTGGAGGGGCAGGCCCCTGGCGGGGGCCCATACCCTGCTCCAGGCTCGGCTGCGTGCGGCCACCCTGCTTGGGAAAGGCACTGTGGCAACTCCAAGAAGCTTGGGACTTGACAGTCAGAATCCTGGATCCTGGGAATCCCAGCACTCAAGAGTTTGAAAGCTTAGGACCAGAAAGACTGAGCATCTCAGGGTGTGGGTTGAGCAGCCGGTCAAGAGAAGGGGAGGCTCTAAATCAACAGTAGGTCAAACCAAGGCCCAGGTTTCCTCCCCCAGGCCCCAGGGCTGTTCTCAGTCCTGGCGGCCAGGACAGGCCCTGGCCCTACTCGGGATCAGGTCCAGCATCAAACCAGATCGAGGCCCAGCTCTGGCACGCATAAGCTGTGTGACCTTGGGCACCTGAACTCACCTCTCTGAGCCACAGGTCCCACATCTGGAATAAAAGGACAATGATAGCACGTACACTTCATGGGGTTGTTGTGGGTTGAAGGGAGCTGGTTCAGGTTGAGTGTTTAGCACACAGTAAGTGCTCAATAATGGCCAGCTGTTGTCTCTGTCATTCTGCATTCAGGGCCATATCCCAGAAAAATCCCCAACCCCAGAACAGCTTTGACGTACCTCTGAGTCAGAGAGGGCCGGGAGAGAGAGCCCTAGAAAACTGTCCCCATGGCAAGCCCCAGGACAGCCCTAGCTTGCAAATCACAGGTATCAAGTGTAGACCATCTTCCAGGGACTGATCTAAGAGCTATACATGAATCACTAGCTCACTCAGGCCCTAGCACCTCCTCTACTAACCGCATGTGAAAGATGGGGAAACCGAGACCCACTTGGCACCTAGAGTCACATACCCAGTAAGAGAGGGCTCAGCAACTTGCCCCTGGGTGTTCTCGCTCCAGATCCAACTCACAGTCACAGCCTCCTATCATCCATTCTCCGGAGCTTAGCAAATGGTGCCTCCTCCAAGAAGCCATCCTGGATTGCTCAGGCATGATTAGTCGTTCCCATTGTTTAAACCGTTTAAAATGTTGTTTACTGTCTAAAACTCCATTCCCATTGGCCCACGCACTTCAAAAGGACAGGAACCACAGATGTCTTGTTGCTCACACCCCTTACCCAGGGCTTAGCGGACAGGCAGGCACTTAGCTGGCGCTGTGACATTGGCCCAGTGGGGCGCGGGCACGGTGGCTGCCCCACCAGCATCTCCACCAGGCTGCAAGCTTTTGCAGGGCAGTCTCCACTGGGTCCCCAGCCCCGACAGGCCTGCCTCCCAGGGGCTTCTGAAAGGCCCGTTGCAGGAGGGTACTGATGAATGGGACAGAAGCAACCAGCACGCGGGTTCTTGCTCTGGGCTTGCCGTCCTGCCCTTCCCGACCTTTTCTCATCATCGCCCCCGACCCCCCTCAAGGAACCCTTTACCTAATTACCACCCATCCCTATAAACCGCGATACCGCAGATACACCTGTTTACTGTTCCATAGCCTTTGCAGGAACAGAAGCCCCAGTGATGGCTGATTTTCTCTGCCCCCTGCCCCCACCAAAAACAAACAAACAAACAAACAAAAACAACAAACCAAAACAACTTTCACCTTCTGGACCCCGAATTTGCTAGCCTGGTACAGAGGAGGCAAGTCATTTTGCACAAATGAATTTAAAGAGACCTACACCTGGTTTTAGTTTAACAACTGAGGATTGTCTGAAGAGTTGTCTGTGTAGACAGGCAGATGGACCAGCACACAGATGCACAGACAGCCATCCTATCTCCTTCTAGCCTGGGCCCCGTGTCCCCCCACCATCCTCTTGCTCAAGCTTAGCAAAGGAGACCGAGAGACCATGGCTGGGGTCACCCTGGGCTCCACGAGTTTCCTGCAGCCAGATGAGGGCCAGGGAAGCAAGTCCAACGCCAGCCACCTCCCAGCCGGGCCACGATGGGCAGCTGCTTCTCCCCTCTGAGCCTCGATTTTCTCATCTGCACAAGGGAAGCACAGCATTCCTGGGTGATTCCCCAGCCCCTCAGAAGGCCCTGCTCCTGCCTGGCCGAGCTTCCCAGGAGGCGCTCAGCCTGGCAGCCCGGCCCCTTCCGCCATCCGGGCTTCAGTCTCCCCTGGCCTCTGGCCAAGCCTGGTGACGGAGGCATCTACCATTTCGGGTGTGGCCAGGCCAGCCCCAGAGGAAGCCGCTGAGGGGCCTGGGGCCAGGAGAGTGACCCCCTGGGCTCCCTGCCCACCCAGAGGACTGGTCTCAGGGGGCTCGAAGACACAGATGGGAAAAGAAGAAAACAAGAGGGTCCAGGAAGGAGGAAGAGAATTCCAGGCGACCGGAGTCCTGATCATTGTTCATGGGTGTTTGTGTGTGCGTGTGTGCGCGCGTGTGAGCGTCGGAGGTCACTGCTTTAGGTACCATCCCCCGCCCGCCATTCTCATTCCCCTTTATGCCCCTAAACCACCCCAAATACAAATTACTAAGAGTATTCTAATTATGATGATTATTTTCTCTTTGGCTAGCAATATTAGTTAGTATCCTAATTCTAGTATTTACATAATTTGCTACAGACCAGCGTCATTTTCTCAACTTTATGAAAAGCATGAAGAACATCACTTTGGAGACAATATTGTTATGGATCCCTAGCCTAAGCGCTTCAAGACACATCCTGCACCCGCTCTCCCTTTCTGGGATCACCCAGATCTAACCCCAGCTCTGCTCTGAGCAAGTCCCTTCACCTCCCTGTGCCTCGCGCGAAAAGAGAGGCAGCATGATTTTTAGGGACATGTTCCTGGTTTCTCTGATTTTTTTCAAAGTTAGAGCCCCTCCCCCTTCTTCAAGCCAGCAGCCCAGTGGCCAGCCTGATGGGGAGGGTAGGATGGAAGAAGCTGAGGGAGCAGGATCCAGAAGAGACTGCCCAATAAGGCCACGACCTCGATCCCCAGCCCCCGGGGCTCTGGTTCGGAGCTCAGGTCCTGCGCCGGGCCGGCCCTCTGCTGTCAGGCGGGCCTGCTGGTCCCAGAGGCCTCCCAGCCACTCCCCGTGGTTTGGCAAGCGGGCACTTACCGTGCTCAGCAGAGCAGGCAACAGCTGCCTCGTGGGCCCAGGAGAAGTGGCTTCTCTCCCTTAGCGACCGGGATGGGGCCCACGCTGCCAGAGCACTGCTGTGGACCCCGGACCCCGCCAACCCTCAACAGCCTGTGTGAAAGAAGGAAGCGAGAATGTGGTTATTCAGACGCGGCCACGTGACGGCCCACACCCCCTTGTTTGTGACAGCTTTGGTGGCAGTGTGGATTGAGACGGGGTGGGTAGTGGGAGCCTGGGACCTGCTGAGCCTCTTGGGTTCTGGTAACCACGTGCATGCCAAAAACCACATGCAAGCTTTCTGGGAAGGGCTGGTTGAGAGGCATGACCCCACGGTGATGGGAAGTAGGGGTGAGGGGGAGCCCACCCTGGAAGGAAGGGAGGGACCAGATGCAAATAAGGATGGTTCTAGATCCTTGTCCAAGTTGGGAATCAGGGTGGGAGAAGCCACGGAACACAGACTTTCCTGAGGTTTGCAAATATGATGCAGCCATTCTTTCAGGATCCATCTCTAGGTGCACAGGTGATCCTTTTAGCCACAAGCAGTAAGTGCTCTGAGGAGCTGCATGGCAAATTCCACCGGGGCAAGACCTGCTTATTTTATTTCCCCATGCTGACTCGTTCGTTTTGCCAACCCTGGCACCCCAGGCTGGGGGCTCTGAGATCCAAAAGGCAAGCAATTCCAGGCTCAGGTCCTCCCGTAGCTCTTCATCTGGTGGGGAAGCCAGCAGGTGAAAAAGTGAACAGACCATTACACACAGGGATGTCACCCTGTGGTGAGCTAGGGAGGGGCCCCTACCCCTTCCTGGGCAGGAGAGGGGTTTGTCAGGAGAATCTTCCAAGAAGTGGCACAGAGGATGACAAGGGTGGGCTGGGTGAGCAGCCCAGGAGAAAAGTAAAGGCATCCCAGGCAGAGGGCACAGCATGGCCAAAGGCCCGGAGACATAAGAAAGCCCAGAACACTCAAGACAGTGAAGGAAAGCATCATCTCCCAGGGTCTGGCCTGTGGCTCTGTACAAGGTGGGGTGCGGGACATAGGCAGACAGGGGTTCACACACTGCCTTACATACAGGTTGTTTTAAAATGATAACAGGAGGCCCAGTGGGTGTTCACCACGACAGAACCTCCATTCCAGGGTCGCCTGGGTGGCTCAGTTGGTTAAGCATCTGCCTTCAGCTCAGGTCATGATCCCAGGGTCGAGCCCCGCGTCGGGATCCCTGCTCGGTGGAGAGTCTGCCTCTCCCTTTCCCTCTCCCTCTGCCCCTCCACCCACCTTGTGCTTTCTCTCTCTCCCTCTCTCAAATAAATGGATGAATACAATCCTAGAGAAAAAAAAAAAAGAACTTCTGTTCTAGAAGCGGCCCAAAACTCCCCCGGTCTATATAGAGACAGGAACACTGAGACCCCAAAAGGGTGAGAATGTTAGAACTTCCCACTCTCCCCCAGCAGGTTTGGAAATAGCCAGCCCTCAGGAGCAGGGATTGAGAAACTGAACAGACCCCTGCCGGGGCTGGAGGCCACTCTCAGGTGATAGGCATTCCAGATAGATGGTTTATCCTGAGTCCACAAGTACATTGGAGACAGGACAGTCCCTCTGCTGGGGACTGCCTTGGGCCCCCACCCCTCACCCTCCAATCCAGCTCATCCTGAACCAAAGCCCATCACCAGATCCACAGTTCTGAAACCAACGGCGAGGTCCTAAAGATACAGAGGACATGGGAGGGTGACCTACCTTCCCAGTCTGCCTGGGACTGAAGGGGCTCTGGGTCAGGCTTAAAACTGGGTAAGTCCCTGGCAAACCAAAATGACTTGGTCACCCTAGAGTGGGGCCCAGCCCCTTCCAGGCCATGGGGCCAGGGGGAGCTGGTCATTTGCTAAATTCTGAATGGGGCGGCGTCGGAGGCTGTTACCCCACCTGCAGCACTGAGGTGGGAGAATTGCGGGGGCGGTTCCGGAGCAAGCAGACGCAGAGTCCCACATCCCCCAGATGCATCCCTTCCTCCCTGTCCCAGATGCAGCCACAAAGCTGCTTCTCAGGAGGGTCGGGCACAACCTGGGGAAAAGGAAACCATACCACAGACCCGCCCCTGGTCCTTTATGCCATCTGTGAGCTTTGAAAACCATCCAGGAGCAGGGCCCTACAGGGGACAACACTCAAGGCCAGGGGGCTGATAACTGGCCTCCTAGGAGCTGCATGACCTTGGAAAAGTCTCTTCTCTCGAGCCTCGGCTTCCTCCCGTAATACAATGCTTAACGTTTCCTTGGCCTCTGCCACATGCCAGACGCTGTGCATTATCAGCTCATATAACGCTCAGAGCAGTCTTTTGGGGAAACTGAGGCTCAAAGCGAGGCTGTGCCTTGCTCAAGGTCACACACAGAGTAGGGGGCAGAGCCAGGCCCAGGCAGCCGGAAAAGAAGCCCCCTGTCTCACCCCCTGGCCTGCGATGGTGCTGGCTCAGTACCTGCCCGCAGTGAGTCTTCCCTGCACACCAGCCAGCTGTCTGTGAAAGGGAAGGGAAGAACTCAGGGGCAGGTGGGTGATTTCAAGGTAAGACTTGAGCAGCAAATATCACTACGAGGATTCCAGCTCGTGTCGTCTGTTCGAAGACCAGAAAAACCGCATCTCATGACCCCTACCACCTATGAGAGTCAAGCATTCAAAGCGAGCGGGTTTCCACTTCTATAGACGGAGCCCAAAAAAGGGCTCCCAGGATGCCTTCAGAAACCCCGGAAAAAACATACAAGTCCCGTCCTATTGGAAACCTGCCCCTCAGAGCGTGATCCGGGCGTGAAAGTCGCATGCACGCTGAACGCGTCCAGAGCGCTCACACCTCATCAGTGGAAAAGCAGGTATAAGGATGTGTGAACGGCACTTTCAGCTGTGGGTGGGTGCTCGGAGGAGGTACCGAAGGAAATGCTCACAGCGCTCATCTCTGGGTGGCCCAAGGATGGGCGGCCCTTCTCTTTCCCATACATCTTCCTGCCCTGTATTTTTAGATAGAAAAATGTAAGTAACGACATGAATGTCAGCTCTACTATCAGGAAACAGAGATTTTAAGCAGCGCAAGGCCTTGATAGACACCCTAGATTTCAGGATGACTTGACATTTACCCCCTCTGTCTGTCTCCACCCTCCTGGGGTGTTTGGGGGACGGTCCCTCCCACGCCCCAGCCCTGTGTTTCCCGGGGCTTCCAGCTGTGGTTTACCAAGGCCCTTTGGCCATAGCGAAGGGGCCAGTCATGTCACTTCCTCAAATGTTCCTCAGCCTGACTCTGGAGGATTCTCTGGAGGGGTTTAGGAACCTACTCAGACATCATAGACTAACCCCCCGGAGGGCGACTCCTTCCCTAGAACAGGATCAAGGAGCTTTTTCTGTTAAGGGCCAGAGACCGCATCTTTTCAGCTTTGTGGATCTGTCCCAAATATCCAGCTCCGTGGTGGTAACATGGAAACAGCCATAGTCCATATGTAATAAATGGGTGTGGCTGTGAGCTAATAACATTTTCTTTGCAAAAAATAGGCAGAGGGCCAGATTTGTCCTATAGGCTGCAGTTTACTGGCTCCTGACCTAGGAAAATGAGAGACATTGGCTATGGGAGAACCAAACTGGAAGAAGAAGTGAATGGGTCCCCGCGAATGGGCAGAATGAAACACGGGTCCCCTTAAAACTATGTCGCTGGCTTTCTTAGGGCAGGACACATTTATTGAGCCCTGTGTGCCAGGCACTGGGATGAGCCGCACACAAGACACATACAGTCCTTGCCCTCTGGGAGCCTCCAGATTAGTGGCCCAGTCAAAAGCCACCATCCTGGGCCACTGAATGTAGCCAGGTGGAAAAGCAGGGTTCTGAGAATGAGGAGAATTGAGTCCTTGCCTGCTGTGTGGCTTTAGTGAATTCACTTGACCTCTCTGAGATTGTCTCATCTGGAAAATGGAGCCACAAATGCTTAGTGCAAAACAATGCAAGGAATAATAAAAGTCTAACAGTAGATTGGGCTACAGATGTAGGCAGAGCCCAATCGCCTCACCTCTGACTCCCTGAGTCCATCTATCCTAAAACTTGAGAGCAAAACCCTAGCCCTCAATGTATAATCCTTGCTCCAAGTGCAGGAACTCTCTCCCTACGTAGGATTCAATGGTTCCCCATTGCTTTTATTTTATTTTTTAAAGATTTTATTTATTTATTTGAGAGAGAAAGAGAGAACGAGCAGTGGGGAGGGGCAGAGGGGAGGAAAGAGAGAGAGCGAGAGAGAGAGAGAGAAGCAGACTCCCTGCTGAGCAGGAAGTTCAACGTGGGGCCCCGATCCCAGGACCCAGAGATCACGACCTGAGCCCATGATAGATGCTCAACCAACTGAGCCATCCAGGCGCCCCAACCCATGGCTTTTAGAATAAAGACTCAAATCCCTGACATGGCGGCCAATGCCTTGACCCCTCTTCCCCTCCACCTTCATCTCACTCACATGCCCCATTGTTCTCTGCTCCAGTGCCTTCTTTTAGCTCCTCTTATGTTTCCTCCTGACACAGGACCTTTGCATGTACATTCCTTCTGCCTGGAGCATTCCTTACTGCTCATCACCTGAGTAACTCCTGCTCACAATTTAGATCCAGTTCACGTGCCATCTCCTCGGGAAAAGCCTTTCCTGACGCCTGACCCTACTCTGAGATCTCAGAACACTGCACCCCTCTCCAACATGCATGTCATTCCTTGATACTTATCTCTCTCCCTGGAAGCTCCAGAAGAAACCCATGTCTGTTTTGTGCCTGGCATATATGAATAACAATGGCTAACATTTACCAGGTGTTTCTTCATGCCAGGCACTGTCCTAGGCTCTTGACACATTTGTTTGTCACAATTAAACAAATTGGTAATTTAATTTGTCACAGTTGCCTCATGAGGTATTAATAGTATTCCTATTTTGGGATGGAAAAAAAAAACAAGACCCAGAGAGGTTGAGTAACTTGCCTGAAGTCACACAGCTAGTAAGTGGGAGAGCCAGGGTTTAAACCCAGGCTCTCTGATTATGGAACCTAAACTGAATCACAGTAGATGTTTGCTGAATAAATATACAAACCGTCCTGGCAGACACTGCCCGTTACGATTGGTCCAAGGGGATGCAATGCTCCCCACCACTCTCCAACAGGATGTGAACCGCTGTGGAGGTGTGGAGCTGGAACGGCCATCAGCAAAGCCGGTGAGGGGTAGCTTCCTCTCCATATGGACCCCGGTGCCTTTTGGCAAACATGGGCTCCGAGGGGGTTCACTAACTCATTGCTGCTGGAGCAGCCCCATTTTAAAGCTCACTGGGCCCCCCACTTGGACAACCAAAGATCTGATATCTGAGCAATCTGCCACCTCCTATACCTGGACACTACTAAATGGTCGTCCGTACACTAAATGCAGTTTTGCTTACCTTAGCCGATGGGTGAAAATGCTTGTAGCTGCCATGTGAGGGTGTTCACCCCAGCTGGGCGGGGGGCCTGTCTGCTTGCATTTCACTCCTCTGTTGCTTCTGCGTGGGGAGTGGAGTAGGGAACTGTTCACACCAGTGACCAGTACCGCTGCCATGTAGAGACAGAGGAAAGCCAGCAACGCTTAACTTTGACCTGGTATTTACCAGGCGTAAGCTGGTCAACCGTGCATTCCACCTGACAGGCCAGGTATAGCTGAGATCTGAACATCTATTTGTAATTTGCTGGGAACTCACTGTGGCCCCTGCCCGCACCTCCCCCCGCACCCAGGATGCCCATTTCCCTGAAAATGGGGAAAACTGTAGGAAAAACTGGGTCACATCTCCTAGAATCATGCCTGCCCTCGAAAGTGGCCACTCTGCCTCCTGGGAAGCTGAGGCTCAGGGAAGGGCCCAGGTGGACTTGAGTCCAGGTTGGCCAGACCAGACCACAAAACCTACAGCTTCCTACCAAATAGGTGTCCAGCTGGAAAACTATCCACCGTGGGTGTCCTTTGTTCAAACGAAAGCAAAGATCTCATGGAGGACAGAGCTGCTTTAATGAAAGGGAGGTGGTGGGGGAGGGGTCATACCCAAGGGCCTGCCCTCCCCCCTTCCCCAAAACACACATCCTCTTTGATTGAAGGGAGGGCTCACAGGCTGTGATTTGCCAATTTGAACCATCTAAAGGGGAAATGGCCACTATGGGGCCCACCGCAGCTGGGACGCAATTCCCCTTCTCAGATGGAAACAGAACCTCGGGGAGCCCTGGATTCTGGCTGTCACTCTGGGCAGCCCCGGGAGCAGCTTCTGGGATGAAGGCCTGCAGAGTGAAGCTGCTCCTCCAGCGTAAAGGAGAACAGGGGCTCCCCGGGGCTCACTGCGTCAGTGTGGGTGCTGGAGAGTGGCCAGCGTAGGGGCTGGTCCCAGACCTGGAAGGCCAGAGGGTAATCAAATAGAGAAATGTGCTCCCGACTCAGTGGTTTTTCCGATAGTGGCAGTTGAAGGATCAATGCCTCTGACGGCCACTGGGCCTGATGGTACAGAGATGGAGAACTCTGGATCTCAGACCTCGAGGGGCTCTGATGAAGGAGGAATACCGGCATGAGGAAGGAGCCTTGGGTGCAAACTCATCTCAAACTGGCTTAAGTGGCAATAGGATTCCTGAGGTAGCTCATGGAATTTGAGGTTAGAAACGTAGCTGGAGGGACGCCTGGGTGGCTCAGTCGGTTAAGCGTCTGCCTTCGGCTCAGGTCATGATCCCAGGGTCCTGGGATCGAGTCTTGCATCGGGCTCCCTGCTCCGCGGGGAGCCTGCTTCTCCCTCTGCCTCTGCCTCTCTCTCTCTCTATCTCTCATGAATAAATAAATAAAATCTTAAAAAAAAAAAAAGAAACGTAGCTGGATCTCATGCATGGATTCAGGGAACTAAAGGGACCCAGAAGCCTTTTCTCCACCACTGCACACCTGCTCTGCCTGCTTGCTCCCCAGTGTCCCCAACTCCCGGGCCTCTGTAAAGGGAAACCCACAGTTGACACCCCGGAAGATTGCTCCAAACGGTGCCTTGGCCCAGCCAGGGGAGGGTCACATTCTGGAAGCAAAGGACTGCCATGCAGACAAGCCAGTAGGTGTCCCTGTCCCCAAAATGTCTGTTTTCATTCATCTACTTAGCGAATGTTTCTAGTTTTTACTTTTTTTTTTAAGATTTTTTTTTTTTTTTTTTTTTATTTGACAAAGAGAGAGGAACACAAGCGGGGGGAGTGGGAGAGGGAGAAGCAGGCTTCCTGCTGAGCAGGGAGCCCGATGCGGGGCTCGATCCCAGGACCCTGGGACCATGACCTGAGCCGAAGGCAGACGCCTAACGACTGAGCCACCCAGGTGCCCCAAAAAGTTGTTTTTTTTTTAATTGAGGTATAATTGACAATATAACATTAGTTTCAGGTATACAACATAATAATTATACTGTTTGTGTATATTGTGAAATAATCACAATAAGTAATTAACATCCATTGCCACACAAATTTTTTTTTTCTTGTGAGAACTTTTAAGACCCACTCTTTTAGCAACTTTCAGATATGCAATAGAGTATTATTTTTTTTTCTCAAGATTTTATTTATTTATTTGAGAGAGAGAGAATGAGAGACAGAGAGCACGAGAGGGAAGAGGGCAGAGGGGGAAGCAGACCCCCCGCTGAGCAGGGAGCCCGATGTGGGGCTCAATCCCAGGACCCTGGGATCATGACCTGAGTCGAAGGCAGACGCTTCACCGACTGAGCCACCCAGGCGCCCCCCTAGCAAATATTTTTATTTTTTTTAATTTAAATTCAACTAGCCAACATGCAGTACATCCTTAGTTTCACATGTAGGGTTCAATGATTCATCAGTTGCGTATAACACCCAGTGCTCATCACATCACGTGTCCCCCTTAATGCCTGTCACCCAGTTACCCCATCCCCCCACCCACCTCCCCTTCTGCAGCCCTGTTTGTTTCCCAGAGTCAAGAGTCTCTCATGGTTTGTCTCCCTCTCTGATTTCTTCCCATTAAGTTTTCCCTCCCTTCCCCTATGATCCTCTACGCAATTTCTTACATTCCACATGAGTGAAACTGTATGATAATTGTCTTTCTCTGATTGACTTACTTCACTTAGCATAATCCCCGCCAGTTCCATCCATGTAGATGCAAATGGTGGGTATTCATCCTTTCTGATGGCTGAGTAATATTCCATTGTGTACTTATACACTACATCTTCTTTATCCATTCATCTGTTGAAGGGCATCTCAGCTCTTTCCACAGTTTGGCTATTGCGGACATTGCTACTATGAACATTGGGGTGCATATGGCCCTTCTTTTCACTACATCTGTGTCTTTGGGGTAAATACCCAGTAGTGCAATTGCTGGGTCATAGGGTAGCTTTATTTATAACTTCTTGAGGAACCTCCATACTGTTGTCCAGAGTGGCTGCACCAGCTTGCATTCCCACCAACAGTGTAGGAGGGTTCCCCTTTCTCCACAACCTCGCCAACATTTGTTTCCTGACTTGTTAATTTTAGCCATTCTGACTGGTGTGAGGTGGTATCTTATTGTGGTTTTAATTTGTATTTCTCTGATGCCAAGTGATGTCAAGTAATTTTTCATGTGTCTGTTGGCCATTTGTCCGTCTTCTTTGGAGAAATGTCTGCTCATGTCTCCTGCCCATTTCTTGACTAATCGGATTATTTGATTTTTGGGTGTTCAGTTTGGTAAGTTCTTTATAGGTCTTGGATACCAGCCCTTTATCTGTAGTGTCATTTGCAAATATCATCTCCCATTCTGTGGGTTGCCTTTTAGTTTTGTTGACTGCTTCCTTTGCTGTGCAGCTTTTCATCTTGATGAAGTCCCAGTTGTTCATTTTTGCTTTTGTTTCCCTTGCCTTTAGAGACGTGTCTTGCAAGAAGTTTCACTCTAGCAAATATTTTTAAAAACAACCTGCCAGATCCTGGGGATAACAGTGCATGAAATGAGATCCTGTCCTTGTGGAGTTTATATTCAATTTGGGGGAGACAGTCAAAATCTCAATTGAAGTTGCTAGATCTGGTGGAAATAAGGTGATATGGGGAAGATGGCAGGGGAGGGAGAGCGAAGTGGTGAGCCTCGCAGATTCTGGGGGTAGGAGGGAGGATGGGTGGTCTGGAGAGAGCTGTGCATGGAAATATCAGAGGTAGGAAGCCTCCCAAAAACAAGGGGACAAAAGGAGAGGAGGTCAGGGAGGCAGTGAGGCCAGCCAAACATGGGGAGGCCAGCTTTTATTCTGAGTGGGAGGAGAAACCATAAGGGGTTTTGACTCTAAATATGGGGGTCAGCAAGCTTTTTCTTAATGGGCCAAATTGTAAATATTTTAGGGTCTGTGGTCATAGTCTCTGTTGCAACTCAACTCTGAAGGTGTAACGGGCAGTCATTGATGTTGCGTAAACAAATAGGAATGACTTTGTTCCAATACTTTATGCTCACTAAAACTTGTATTTCACATACTTTTTACTTGTCACTATTCTTTTTTTTAAGTTTTTTCTCCCCCAACCATTTAAAAATGTGAAAAACCATCCTTAATTTGTGGGCTCTACAGACACTTCCAGCAGGGTGGATTTGGCCTGTAGGCCTCAGTTTGCCTACATCTGCCTTAATACCTTACGTGGTCACTCTGGCCATTGTGTTGAGAACAGATTAAAGCAGGGAGCAGGAAGCTTGGTCTGGAAGATGTGATAGTACATTTTATGTCAATTTTATTCAGCCATGGGGTACCTAGATTATTTGGGCAAATATTCTGGGTGTGTCTGTAAGGGTGTTTCCAGATATTAACATTTGAATCCCTAGACTGAGGAAAGCAGATAGCCCTCCACAGTGTGGGTGGGCCTCACCCAATCAGGTGAGGGCCAGAAAAGAACAACAAAAAAAAGGGAGTTAAAAGGGAACTCCTTGCCTGACTATCCCTGATCATTGTTTTCTTTCACTGCTTTTGGACTCAAATGGAAACATCGGGTCTCCAGTTTGCTGACAGGAGACCTTGGGACTTGTGAGTCCCCATAACTGTGAGTCAGTTCCTTATAATGAATCTTTCTATATACGTACACATCCTATTGGTTCTGTCTCTCTGGAAAACCCTAACACAGAAGCTCAGTCCACATCAGAGATGACAGGGACATGGACTAGTGGGTTAACAGTGGCAGTGTGAGCAGCATTTGGAATATGTGCATATTCTGAAGCTACAACCAACATGAGTAGCTGACAGCTCATGGTGGGGTATGAGAAAAGAGATGGGAATCAGGTGGGGTGGGAGGCAGGGAGCAAGTCAAGGGGGCTCTCATAAAGGAGGCTGAAAAGCATGGACTTTATCCTGGAGACAAGGGGACCCACTTCTGTCCCCCTCAGAGATCTTGACAGATTCTGTTCTAGAAACCATTACTCTGGAAGCAAAAAAGGGAACAGGTGGGTGGTGGTAGAGGAACCAGTTACAAGGCTGTTCAGACAATGGTCTGTTCTCTCTACGAGGGGAAGTTTCTGGCAGGTGCCCAGACAGCTATATGGGATTCTCTTCCTTGCCATCTTTTGTGGCATTTCCATCCA